CCGACAGAACTAGAGGAAATCATAGAAGCATAGAATCATAGAATGCTTAGGGTTGGAAGGGACCTCTAGAGATCCCTTCCAACCTTAAGCATTCTATGATTCTATGAATACTGGACTAACTTAATCTGCACATAGTAAAACCCTACTTTTTTTTTTTTTTTTTTTTGCTTTTTTTTCAGTCACATTTACTCCCCTGGTTTCTCTCAAGAAGGAAAAAAAAAAAAAAAAAAGACTATGCCAAGGCAGGGTGTATCAGAACTTGTTTACTATGCTTGCAAACCGTTAATCTGTACTATTTCAGTACCACTCTCTTCTGGAGATGCAATAGATCTGATTGTACCAGAATGACCCATGGTAAGAGATTTGGTTCCAATATCCAAGTACTACTGTTAAGACAGTAATGAAAGGTTTGGGCAAGGTATTGCATCACCAAAATGAGATGTGAAGAGAACTGTGCATTTATTTCTTGAATCTCTGTCCATACAAGACTTAGAATCAGGACCTTAGCTGGAGATTTGATCAAAGGATAAGGATATTTTAGTACGCAATTGCAGCACTACGGCCATCATCCACTCCTTTTTCAGTCAAAAATAATCATCTAAATCAAGACTATAAAACTAGCTAACTGAGTTTACAAAACAGGGCAATTCATCCTGAAGCAGGACGTGTTCTGCTTCCCGAATCTGTTTCATTTTCCATCGCTAGCAGAAAACAGTTTACAGAACATGGGCTGCCTTATCATGATTTGTGCTTGCTGGGCTGAAAGAGGACGGAGCCTGGTGGGCAGAAAGCTTCCAGGCCAAAGCCCATCTTTCAGATTCCTGGCTTGACTTTACACCATGGAGAGAAAGGTGGAGAAGAAAAAATAAAAAAGAAAAAGGATAGGTCATCACCCTATTGAAAGCTCTGTTATGATGCATCCAACAAAAGCTCAGAATAACAATTATGTGGGCAACCACAAAACCATTACTTCCCAGCTTTCAAGTGCTGGACTCTAATCTAAGTAACATAAATCTATTTTACACACTGGAGTTATTTGTGTCTCTTACATCCTGGCTTTGTTTTCAAGACATGCAACAAAAGTGAAGAACAATTTCTATTATCTCAAATGGTAATGGCTTCCTTGTATTCATGGTGTGTATCAGCAGGGCTTGAACCCTGAACTTTCAGACTACTGCTACAGCTGTTACAGACTCATCATTAACTGGAACCGGCAAAAGATTTGTTCTCCAGAAGGGCAAATGACTAGACCAAATCTCTTTTCCCAACACTGCATGGGGTGAAGCAGCTCCCTAAGCTCCCATGCACTGGGGTAAAGGTACGAGGGACAGGTTGTTGGCATTAAAAGGTATGAGTGGGAATAACTCTGTCCTTTTCATTCCTGTCCCCAAAGAGCGCACCCGTACCCCATGGACCATGCACAAGGGTCTGCACCATGGACAAGGGTATCTGAGAATCGGGATAAGATTCTGCATACAGCAGCTCTGGAAGCATTATGATATTGCAAGTACCTAAGCTGGTACTTTACTTGGTACTATCCAATACCTGAAGCTGTAAATTGGCAACATCACAAGGACATTTCTGACATGTAACTACTGGCAAATGGAAGAAAATTGCAAGTGTTGAAGCTGTGCATATTGCAAGGATCTTCCTCAGAGTGGGCAGTCTTCTATAGCTTCCAGGAGAAACACCTCTAGCAGCAGGCACTTGCTGTAGAAGAACAAAGGGACAATGCTTCTGCAAAGAGAAGTTTACAGGAGCATCTCCTCATGGGTTAAATAGAAGGTATGCTGAAATCCTAGTGCTGTGTTATCAACATTTAACTTCAGCAAGTCATGCTCACATGAGGTGCACACAGTAACAGGGGTTTTGCAGCCCCGTGGAATGAATGGCAGGAGTAAGCAGCAAAAGAGCTGCCACTTCAAATAGACTATCTGCTGTCCTGATGGTATGAAAAGAAGTTCCCTATTTCCTATAAAAAAAAAAGGGAGAAACAAACACAGCTTGTAGGAAACTGTAGTCAGGGCAGTAGCTTCAACAACTGTAAATTCTGTCTTCCTCAGTTTAAAATATTTGTAGTCCAAGGATCTATCCTTGACTACTCACAAAAGCAGATGCCCTATTTAAAGAATGATGTTCCAGCTTCCTCCCACTCTTTGAGACACTAACAGGACAGTAGTTTCTGCACCAGTACATTCTTGCCATGACAAATTTAAAAAAGTGCAGTACAGAACAGAGTTATCTCTTAAATAGGAAGAGACAGTCATGCTAGCACACAGTGCTCTCAGGCACAGCCTGGCATGTTTGAGACAAGCTCTGCACCTAGGTCAGCACAAGGTTTTACCTCATACAGCGAGTGCACTAACCTTTTCAACAGATGCTCTTCTCGCAGTTCCAACTCATCTGCCAGAAGAGATCACTGTAGGAGAGCTGAGAGGCTTCTTCCCTTCCCCCTTTTAGCACTGCTGAATTAAACCAGACTGTTTCAGCGTGTTGTTAAGTATGTGACCTGGCATAAAGTGCGTTGAAAGCCAAATACTAAAACTCACCAAGAGCCTCTGCTGCAATGTTCCTAGCATGCTTGTGTGGACAGTATACCATAAATATACACCTTTTTTTTTTTAAAACAGTTTTTCTTTAAATGGAGACATGCCATTACTATATATCCCATTGCATTTTCTAAATAATATAATTTTTCTATCCCCACAACACTGCATGCCTCTCCCTCCTTACAATATTTTAAAAGTAATCCTCTATAGCGTCTTCACCTATAGGTTCTCAACGAATATTTCCATTAGATGGAAACAACCAAATGGCACAGCTTAAATTGTCCTTAAAAAAAAAAAAAAAAAACTTTCTACTTCAAGCACTTCTTCACTTGTTTCTCACAGGTACTGAAAACAAAGTATTTTGCAGAAATAAGAAGAGATTTCTTTCTTTTAAGAAATCCATGACCTCAAGTACAGAGAGTGTACAGAAACACAATTAAGACATTATTATTTAAATTTGTTGTTCAACAGAAAGTGGACATTACCACTGGAAAGTCATACCCCAATGATAATTTAAGCAATACAGTTAGTTATTAACAAGGCCTACAAAGTTTGTTGTCCTACTACATTTTAATCATTGACGCTGTTAATGGCAATCTTGTTATACTTTATGATTCTTGTGTTGTGACAGAAGGAAAAAAAAAAAATCGCAAGTCATTTCAGCACCGGTGGAGAATGTCATGTGTTATTGTAGGAGACCTTTCTAACAGACAGGGGGCTGTTAGATCAGTTCAAGCTGTATGTGAAAGCCTATCTTATACTGTAACTTCCAGCCCGCAATAATCATCCCTACCTTGTAACAAACACATGTAGAGCTCAGGTGCCTATATCCCGTATAACGTGGCTCATGACTGAGAGCAAACAGGAAAATAGTTAATCATTGAGGAGTGAAAAAAATCTCCAAGCCCTTGCTCCTGTACTTTCACCTGGCAACATAGATGCATTTTTCTCCTTGCTTTCCCCCATAAAAAGACATTCCAGTCCTCCTAAGAAGTGAACAGCATATGAACCTTCTCCTAGACCCTGTATTTATTCATAAATCCCCAACTCCTCTCCTTAATGGCTTACAACAAATAAAGAAATATCAGTGTCTGAACAAGCATAAACTGCGGTTGGCTTTGCACATTATTAGCATGGGACCTGACTTCCTCCAGTATGATAGGGTCTAGCAAGAGCAGCAGTGACAGAGCTCTCTTTCTAGAAGATTTTGCCCAGAATCTTCCTCATGATTTTGACATGAGTCTAATCAACAGGTGAAGTGACAAAGCCTGTTCTGCAGAAGGCTGACACCGAAGCAGTGCTTACCCCTTTTAACTGTTGGCTTTGGACAGTTACTGGCTTCACTAGAGGAGCTGCACACAGAATTAAGTACCTGGCATTCCAAGAAAACGCTCCTCAAGCTTTCTGCTTCTATGGAGGAACTACCACTCAGCCTGGACCATATCTTTCTGGGCCTTATCTAAATGACATTGTCACTGTGAAACCTCAGAAAAAATATTTACATTTAGGTTTAACTGGCTCCTGCAGAGCTCCCAGTAATTCAAGACTTGTTGTTTTGTCTAGCAGTCTCATCATATCAATTATCAAGTAACAGTAGTATGTAAACAGATTTTACTTACAGTGTATGGCTTAGTCAGCTTTCTGCAAGATATTTCTACAAAACAAATACTTCTACAGTTCTTTACACCTAACACAAGAGCTTTAGCTTTTCACAAGAGCTAAAAAGCCATGAAAAGTGCCGGGACATCAAGTCAATGTAGAAAGAACATGGGACAAATGATCCAGGAACTGAAAGGCATGTAAGGAAAACAGATTCTAAAAGCACTTCACCCTTGGTTAAGACAGCCAGCAACACTTGGTTTGCTCAAGTTACTGATAAAGCATACTTAAGACGATCAAAAGATTTGGTTCATATGACAAGTATACCAAACCCAAGTCAAAACAGTTAGAGATTTTCAGCTTTTATTTACATTTTCAAAGGAATAGGGTTTAAATAAAATGGAAAACAGGGCAAACTTCTAGCAACGAACCAGACTAAAATGGATCACGAGGATCACAATGTTTTACACAATCAATTCTGACATGCTCAGCACCATGAGAAAGAAAACGGATGAGATCACACTAGCAGCCTACAGTAGTTATAGGCAATAATGCCTACATTAAGAATTTTCAACAAAATATTGGATGTTGTGAATACTCTATTGCCTCCCTGGGCAAATAAGAAAGCTTAAAACATGTCAGTAACGTAGGTCTGGTGTGGGGACATATATCTGAAGAGGAAAAAGCTCTACGGAGCATAGAAACATCATGACAGTTCGGCTAGAGAATACCATTCAGATGCGTAGGTTACATTTTTCCCCCAGAACAATAACAAGGATGCACTTCTACATAAATCACACTCATTATTTCACCTTTGGCGAGGCAAGTTCCTCCCCAGGACAGGAGCCTCACCTTGTTGTAGAACTCTTGCTCCCGAGGGCCGCGGGGCGGTGGCTGCAACTGCTTCAAGACTGTCCCATCCGGATGCTGCAGTATTCCTAGAAGGAAAGCATGTCATTCAGCGCTTATGTTTAGGAGATGCGGCTTGTATTTTTCAGAAATAACAAATACACAGGAGGGACAGTCCATTTGCTCGGTTCCACCATTTCCACTACACACATAACAAAAATTGGCAGCTTTTGCACAAAACCCTTGGACAAGGTTCACTTGTGTTCTCTCTCTAGCCTCCAGATGAGCTTCTGGGTCTAACTCTGGTCAAGGCCAACATAATACTCGGATTTGACGTTAAAAGTTCCACCCAAAACCACTCACTCAACTAGGGAAGATTACATAGACACTCCCTTTTTAAATAACTGATAACAAGATGTTTTCCCAATGACACTAAGAAGCTTAAAAAGTTAAAGAAGTTAAAAAGTGCTAGTGCCAAGTTTCATACATTTATCATTAGCTACAACCAGCAGACATGAACTGCAAATGCATTTTTGTACTAGTGGCATAGAAGGAGCACTTCTATATTACTATGAGTACTTCTACAGCACTCCATGCTAATCAGATGCCACTAAACTACCACTTATAATACAACATAGGATTTCATCTCAGCCAGGCAGCCGCTTTTGTGCCTGCACTCCCCCTGTTCCGCCAAACCATAGTAATCAGTCTAAATGATCCTGCAGTTAGCAACATTGCTGAGCAGCTGCACCAAGAATTCACAACTCAATTTAATTATATTACAGGATACTCAGGAGATGGATATGGCCGAGAATGCAGAAAAGTAACTGCTGCTTTGTGAAATGCACCCTGAAACAGGCTCAGAGCACTAGTAGGTTTTTCAAGAGATTCAGATGTTTCTACCCCATTTCTATTCGAAAAAGAGAACAGAATTCATACCACTGGTGGGGAATCCGCTTCAAGGCATTTCCTCCTAGCACTTATTCAAAGCTTTTCATACAGCAACTTATTTTGTGTAGAAGGGAGATAAACATCAGATATATGTGAAATAAGTTCCATCTTCAGGCTTGAGGGGCGGTTACAAGATGTGGTAACCAAAGCCAGGAACTTTGTGCCCCCCAAAGTGTTAGCAGTTCTAGCAGCAACTGAGTTTTCACCTTTCGGCAAGCATTACCTCTGAATGGGTTTTGTTGTGCAGTCTTGGAAACTAAACAAAATCTTTAGAGCTCAAGCTATTTTGTTTTAAAACAAACATCAGACTTAGAAAAGTTGTTTCAGAAGCTGGCTGTGCCCCTGAACAAAGAGTGTTTTTCAAGATTTGTGTATAACAGCTCTCAAGTCAAGTTGCCTGCTAAGGCTGGAGTTTGTATACTTTCCAGGACCAGAAAAAACTGCTGCACAACAATGCATAGACTACCACAACATCTCCAAGACAAAACAGTTTTATTTTTAGCATCTTTTTTTTTCATGTGCTAGAAACCACTTAACAGAGGGCAAAGTATTTTAAAGACAAGTGTTTTAAATTCAAATTATTAACAATCACAACATTTAAAGAGGCTTTAAAACATATATTCCTTAACGACTGTATTGATGAGACAAGCAGGCAACTGTAAGGCAAAAAATACCAGGCAAATATTCCTGAAGTAGCATCCATGCATGATCAAGTTGATACAGAGAAGCTTGGACTTTGAAGGCACATGACAGTACGTAATTTATTCCCTGCACTTTGGATCATGACAGATGATAAATTTTATTACTTGAAAAGTTTAGTATAACCTAATACTGCTTAAAGCTCCCTCATCCTCTGGAATTCTTGACAAGACAGAGCACCTAGCCAAAATGTGATGGAGATAAGTCTGGAAACTAAACATGCTCATATGTCAGCACCCCTCAGAGAGAAACTCCACTACCTTCTCTCCAACAGCAAGAGACAGTATCACTTGCAGTTATGGCTTTGCTTAAGGAGTGCTGGGGTCTTTCGGTAAATATGGGGAGGGGGGATATAATTTTAATAAATAAACAACTTAAGATTCCCGAGAAAGCAGCAAAGCTATACTGAAATATTCCAAAAGCTTTTTTTTTTTTTGACTCTGTGTGCAAAGCTTGCTAGCACAATGGAGCTCAGAAAGCCACAGCAAGGGCTGTGTAGCTGTACACACTTTTCTTCACATTCGGAGTCAACACACATGCTTCAGTAAACTAGAGACAAAAACTCCTTTGCACAAATACTCCGGACATTTACTTTGGAAAAGATTCCCTGTTCTCTCAGAGTGCTTAATAGGGACTGACCAGTACGCGTGAGCTGCCTCAGCCTGTTCAGCTGGAAATCAGTAGTCTGAGCCAGAAGCTGATATGCACAACAGAGCAGCACTAAGAGTTCCCTAGCTGCAGAATCCCACCAATTCGGGGGCCTCCAGCAGTTTGAGGGAACGGGGAAACCATGCTCAGCTGCAAAAGGCTCCCAAAGGTGGTAGACACCATCATAACACTGTACTTAATTACAAAAAGTAATACCAGCTTTGGATATTCCCAAGTCTTCTGCATGGCTGTTTATGAGGAGAGGAGGGAAGTCTAGCAGACAGAAGCAGCAACACAAAGAAGGAAGCTTGGCAGAAGAAGGAAGGCTCTGAGTTGCAAGCAGCAAAATGCTCAGCGACAAGCACCTTGCTATGGAGACTATCAGCAGCAAGACACGAAATGAGCAGGAGCTACAGATAGCACAGGCTTGCCACACCATTAATGGTGTCATTTCATTTATCGGCGGCTGTAGAGGTTGTGAGCCGGTGCTCGCCCTTGGCCTATTCAGCAAAATTCAGTGTCTGATCAATAGAGCTCACAGGCAGTAGGACAGACATGTGCGTTACAGCTGCTCCCCAAGGGCACACGCAAAGCTGGGGAGATGCACATCTCTCACCTCAAAGGCATGAGCTTTACCCAATTTGATGTTCTGCAAGGGTGAGAAGCACCACTGGGCAGCATCAGCTCTGAACTTGGGTAGTTTGCTTTGGCACTGACATGACCTACATGAAAAGGGACCTTCCTCAGCTGTGCCAAATCTCAGACTCAACTTCAAATTAAATTCTGAGACACGGCCATAAGGTCATAAATATATATACACCTATATGAGTTAATATTACTACTGTTAGGCCGATTATTAGCCATTGGTTTGTGCTTAGCATTACCATCACCCTTACTATCACCACCAGATAAACAAGCAACTAAGGAGTCATTCCTTTTCTTCTAAATTCACATGAACAATTACAAAACAGCTTTGCAAGCTAGTAAATTGCTTACTAATATTTTGCTGACACTTTTTGGTCTTAAAGCACGTGTAAGCATTTTAGATGAAGTACAGTTTTAACAGCACACTGATAAGGACGCATGTTACCTAAACCCCCATTTTTTCAGGTGTCAGATGAAGCTGAGCGACAAAAGTCTGCTCAAAGAGTCATTAACCAGATAGTCACATTTGTGAAAATGACACCAGGAGATATTCTGCACATCTCCCCTTGAAACTAGCTGCCCGCTGATCACCTAGAGACAGAATAGCCATCCTCTAATGTGAGATGCAGCAGCAGGGAGCTCAGGTGCTGCATTCAGATCAGTGACATCCTCCATCCTCACATAACCATGCATTGCCTCACACTCTTGAAAAAGAGAGATCCATTTCCCCCAGCCCCTCACTGCCAGGTGGTGCCAAGAAACCTCTACTAAACCATAAAACCATAAGACTGAACGAGGGAGTCATGCAAAGAGGGACTAGCTCAGTTTTACCTAATAACCACCTGTACCAAGAAAAAGTATTTATTTAGCTGCAACCATCCCACCCTATTCTGATTCATCACATATAGGCTATGAAGGACGGTCTGCCAGCCCCTCCGACCCACAGGGAGAATAAATCTTCATCAGCGAGATTAATCTCTTGGCTTTTCCTACAAAGATACAGAGATCAGCAGTAGCAGACGGCATTAAATTCCCCTTTTGAACACATCCTTTCCTGTAAAGGCAGGTATTTGGGAATAGATGAGCGCCTTTACTACAGACCGTACCATACGGTAATGCAGCAGCTTACGTAACTTTTATTTAGCAGAATTAGCCCAGGAGCACACAGCACTCTAGCAGGGGCAACCTGGCGTTGTCTGGGGGGAATTGCTGATATTTGCAGCTGTCATAAACAAGGGAGGTTTTCGGTTTCCCTGTCTCTGCAACAACCGCTAGCACTTGGACAGGAGGGACATGGTTTTCACTCTTGGCATCCCCTGAACGCACCCGGGAGGGGGTGAGAAAAGCCAAAGGGGTGTTGTTAAACTTTCAGGACACCCTGCGGGGCCAGCTCGCCCCCAGGTCTCCAGGAGACCCTAAAACCTGCTTTCTTGCCCCAAAACGCAGGTGCCGCGCTTTCGCCCCCACAGGCGCACAGCTCCCTGAGGCAGAACGCGCCGAGGGAGCCACTTGACGGCGTCCAAGAAATAAATATATAAATAAGTATATGAGGTAAAAGAATAAAACAATCCGGGGGGAGAGCACGCGCGGCACTTCCCCCACACACGCACCAGCGAAAAGCCGT